AAGTCTCCAGGTAAGAGAACAAGACGAAGAACTAAATGAACATTACCACAAACTGACGAAATACTCAACAACATCCTGAGAAGATATAACAACTCTGATGCTATACGGACAGTATTACTGTAATAAACGCTCAGCAAGGGTCTGTCTGTCTGTCTGTCTCTGGCCGCCCGTCTGTCTGTCCGTCTAGTCTCTAATACATTTACTTAATTTATTATGCAAGACAGTGAGGGAGGCGAGAGTGGAGGGAACACAGACACACAGCATGTTCTCCCTGGACTAAGAGTGTTAGAGCCACACAGAGTTGATACTGGCGGGGGGGTGATGAAGGAGGAAGTGGAAAGGGAAAGAAAAGGGGGGGGAAAGGATGGGGGAAATGGAAGAAGAAGGGAAAAGGGAGGAGAAGGAATAGAAGTGATGAAGAAAGGGAGAGAAAAAAAGATGAGAGGAGAACGAGGAGGAGGATGGGCAAAATGGGAAGAAGGAAGACGAAAAGAGGAGAAAGGGAAGATCAGGAGAATAAGAGGAGGAGGATAATAAGAGGAGGAGAATAATAAGAGGAGGAGAATAAGAGGAGGAGGAGAATAAGAGGAGGAGGAGGAGGAGAATAAGAGGAGGAGGAGAATAAGAGGAGGAGAGGAGGAGAATGAGGGAGGAGGAGAATAAGAGGAAGAAGAGGGGGAGAATAAGAGGGAAAGAGGGGAGAATAAGAGGAGGAAGAGGGAGAATATGAGGAAGAAGAGAGGGGAGAATAAGAGGGAAGAGGGGAGAATAAGAGGAGGAAGAAGAAACTATGAGGAGGAGATGGAAGAAGACTAGGAGAATAGGATAAGGGAGAGGAGAATAGGAGAAGGAGAATAAAAGGAGGAAGAGTAGGAGGGGGAGACAGGAGGAGGAGGAAGAAGAGAAGGAAGAGGAGAATAAGAGAAGGAGAATAAAAGGAGGAAGAGGGGGCGATAAAGAGGAGGAGAATAAGAGAAGGAGAATAAAGAGGAGGAGGAGGAGAATAAGAGAAGGAGAATAAAAGGAGAAAGAGGAGGAGGAGGAGGAGGAGAAAGAGGAGGTCCCCTACTCGTCACAGCTGGGACTCCCTTGTCTCACACTTTATTGCTGCAGCCAACTGTGCCGCTGGAGGGGAGTCCCGCAAGATAACACCCACGACAATATTCCCATCTGGCGATATCCTCAGATAGTGACACACACGCACGCACACACACACACACACACACACACACACACACACACACACACACACACACACAACTGGATTTACGAGGCTAAGTTCTGGGTGTGGCGTGACAAGTGAAAGACAACTTCGATAACATTTGTGGTAATTAAATTAATTTTTTTCATCAGTGTCAATCAAACAGTTGTAAGCTGCTAATACCACCAGTACCACACAGCCGTCGCCGGTACCACACAGCCGTCGCCGGTACCACACAGCCGTCACCAGTACCACACAGCCGTCACCAGTACCACACAGCCGTCACCAGTACCACACAGCCGTCACCAGTACCACACTATACCATGCTCGCACCACTACTACTACACCACATTACTACATGATACCACACCACACCAACAACACCAAACTACAACCATATTTTGCCACCCAACCACCATCACAACACACACCACCATCGTCACTCAACCACACACAACAAAACCACGACACTACACCACACACCACCGTATCACTAACACCACTACCACGCACAACAACCCCACAACCATACTCTGCCACCATACACTTGCCTGCCACCACAATACTACCCAACCACCATAACCACACCAATCAAGGCGCATAGGGAACTGTTATTGTTATGCTCTTATTTGAGGGAGGGAAGAGTACCACTGTTTGGTGTAGGTCTGACCATCACCCCACACACACACGCACACACACAGTACACCTGCTGGCTAAATGAGGCTCATGACTCAGCGTTTGAACCTCGACCAATGTAAACAAAGAGACAATAAATGAGATCCAGAGACATAATACTTAAAAATCTCTCTCTCTCTCTCTCTCTCTCTCTCTCTCTCTCTCTCTCTCTCTCCTAACTTGGGTTCGAGCGTGATACCAACGAGGTTACCAATTAAACATTATAACCACTGCGCCACGGCACTGTACCCAAGACCATCGTCCTCCTCCTCCTCCCTACGTCTTCATTCTCTTAATCCTATAATTGTTTATTAACCACCACTGTGATAAAAGCTGCACCACACACACACACACACACACACACACACACACACACACACACACACACACACACACACACACACACACACACACACACACACACACACACACACACACACACACACACACACACACACACACACACACACACACACACACACACACACACACACACACACACACACACACACACACACACACACACACACACACACACACACACACACACACACACACACACACACACACACACACACACACACACACACACACACACACACACACACACACACACACTTGGTTGGGTTTCGTGTGTAAAATATTTTTTGATCTTGTAATTCTTAATAAAGTGGCTGAAGTTAATAACACAATTCTCTTTAAAGTCTAATGTTTGCTAAAGGTATTAAACCCAACACAAATTATTTCTCACTGTAATATTATGTACACATTCCTCAAACACAAACTATATTTAGTATGTATAATATTTGTTAACTCCCGGACCCCTTGCATGTGGCAGACGGGTCGGGTCGGGTCGGGTCGGGTCGGGTCGGGTCGGGTCAGGTTAGGTTAGGTTAGTTTGGGTTAGGTTAGGTCAGGTTAGGTTAGGTCGGGTTAGGTTAGGTCGGGTTAGGTTAGGTCAGGTTAGTTTGGGTTAGGTTAGGTTAAAATAGTAATGAACTGCCATAATCGTACCAATTCATTATAAAACACGCACCAAAAAGTTTCCATACAAGTCAAGAGGTTGGGTTGGGTTCAGGTCAGAGTTAAGGTTAGGGTGGGTTAAGGTTAAGGGTGGGTTAAGGTTAAGGGTGGGTTAAGGTTAAGGGTGGGTTAAGGTTAAGGGTGGGTTAAGGTTAAGGGTGGGTTAAGGTTAAGGGTGGGTTAAGGTGTGGGTTAAGATAGGTTAGGTCGAGAGGTCGGTTGACGTCATTACCTCTTACGTGATCCAAGACCTCCGAGGTTGTTTCTATTGCTATTCTTACTGCGGGTTGTGGGATACTTCCTCTGTAACGCCCAGCCAGACGTCTTTATGGCCAAATGTTGAAGGTTATGGCCACACACTTTACCTGGAGTTTACCTGGAGCTGGGTTGATGACCTTTGTTTTTACTCATATTCCTCCTCCTCTACCTTCCCTCATCTCTCTTTTGCCTCTACTCCACCTCTCTTTCATTTACCACTACTCCTCCTCCACCTACCATCATCTCTCCTCCACCTACCCACCCGTCTCCCACCTTCACTCACCTCTCCTTACCTCTACTTTGCCCCTCTCTTCCTCCAACTCCTCTTCATCCACTCTCTTACCCCATCTCTCCTATTCCTCCTACTCCACTCCCCTACCTCACACCTTCTCTCTCACTCCATTACTCCACCCCTCTCCTCCCTGACCAATCCTCGACTAGAATGTCATAAAAATGTAAAACAATCACCCGCGAGACAAATGTTTCTGGTCATACATTACCTCCAAGTAGTGTCAGGAGCAGCCCCAACAAACAACAGAACCTGGTGTTAACTTACACTACGCACTAACTCTCTTCAAGAAGCTACGTCAGACGAACGTTCACCCATCTTCTGCCAGCAGTGGCGGTTCTTTTATGCTAAAAGCCCAAATATCTGGGATTTATTCCCTTCTCCACCCCCCCCGTCATCAGCCGTGTACCGACCGACCACCCTGGCGACTCTCTACCACGTGAACCTTATTTTCTGCCACAACTCGGCCGCGTAATCTGTGATCATACCTGGAAAATTACTTCGTTGAGTTTTAAACGGATCGCTCTTCTTTGAGGGTCCCAAGACTTATAAAAAAATGCTTCTTTTTGTTCTAAACTTTCGTCAACCGCCTCCCACCAGCACCACCAGCAGCAGCGGAAAGCCTCTGGTCCGCGAGGCTTATACTCAGAGTACTTGCCTGTCAGAAACTCGCTTACTAAAATAAGCCGGAACGTAAAGCTGAACTGACGGGGCAATAATGAAACAAACTAGGTACTCACGGCGCCCTGTAGTGTGACGAGACGTGTTAACAACTACACGTCGAGAATCACCATCAGCTGACACACACATACCTGCAGGAGAGAGGAATTATGTTAGTTCACACAGTGTCAACACTTGCGGTAAATTTATAAGAGTAATGTAGGTGTTTCTTTTTCCTACGTGACCACTATCGCCATTGAGGTGTATCTACACCACGAGGGAGAAGCCCGGAGCAGCTCCTTCCTTCTAAATGGCCTCCCAGAGTATTGTGGTAAGTGATGGAGCAGCTCAGAACTCCTCCCTCTATCTACATCACCAAAGACAACATTGAGGTAAATTTACAGTTGATGGAGAGGCTCACTGGCACTCTTCCCTCTCTTAACATCACTACTGAGGACCACCGAGACCCCCACAAGGCCGGCTACACCACTACACTGTGTTGAGCGTCACTACATCTGCTGCGTCGTCCTCAAGAATGGTTCACTGGCGTTGACACACCAGACCCAGCATTTGTCCCTCAGAGGATCCACCAAGTGAAGCCAACGACCCATTCTATGTACAGTAAATTATCTCTTTTCTCTCTTAGTTTAAAGGAAAAAATACACGTAGAACAATACAAAAAATAGTGGTGCGACTTTTTTCCCAGAGAAGATGGCAAAAAGATTTTTTTTTTCTGTATGATGTAAGACCTTCAGCTATTTCCTAAGTTAGTTGCCATTACTTAAACGGAACTTTATATTTCTAGAGTGGGGAAGAAATTCAAAAGACTAGACCTAACAAACATTCAACCAATAATTAGGGAGCCATATTACTTTTCAACACACTTTTCCTCAGCTTTAAACTCTCCTCCACCAAGGTCACGGGAAGCAGCCGACCCCTCCACCAAGGTCACGGGAAGCGGCCGACCCCTCCACCAAGGTCACGGGAGGCGGCCGACCCCTCCACCAAGGTCACGGGAGGCGGCCGACCCCTCCACCAAGGTCACGGGAGGCGGCCGACCCCTCCACCAATGTCACGGGAGGCGGCCGACCCTCCACCAAGGTCACGGGAGGCGGCCGACCCCTCCACCAAGGTCACGGGAGGCGGCCGACCCCTCCACCAAGGTCACGGGAGGCGGCCGACCCCTCCACCAAGGTCACGGGAGGCGGCCGACCCCTCCACCAAGGTCACGGGAGGCGGCCGACCCCTCCACCAAGGTCACGGGAGGCGGCCGACCCCTCCACCAAGGTCACGGGAGGCGGCCGACCCCTCCACCAAGGTCACGGGAGGCGGCCGACCCCTCCACCAAGGTCACGGGAGCAGAGTAATGTAGGTGTTTCTTTTTCCTACGTGACCACTATCGCCATTGAGGTGTATCTACACCACGAGGTTGAAGCCCGGAGCAGCTCCTTCCTTCTAAATGGCCTCCCAGAGTATTGTGGTAAGTGATGGAGCAGCTCAGAACTCCTCCCTCTATCTACATCACCAAAGACAACATTGAGGTAAATTTACAGTTGATGGAGAGGCTCACTGGCACTCTTCCCTCTCTTAACATCACTACTGAGGACCACCGAGACCCCCACAAGGCCGGCTACACCACTACACTGTGTTGAGCGTCACTACATCTGCTGCGTCGTCCTCAAGAATGGTTCACTGGCGTTGACACACCAGACCCAGCATTTGTCCCTCAGAGGATCCACCAAGTGAAGCCAACGACCCATTCTATGTACAGTAAATTATCTCTTTTCTCTCTTAGTTTAAAGGAAAAAATACACGTAGAACAATACAAAAAATAGTGGTGCGACTTTTTTCCCAGAGAAGATGGCAAAAAGATTTTTTTTTTCTGTATGATGTAAGACCTTCAGCTATTTCCTAAGTTAGTTGCCATTACTTAAACGGAACTTTATATTTCTAGAGTGGGGAAGAAATTCAAAAGACTAGACCTAACAAACATTCAACCAATAATTAGGGAGCCATATTACTTTTCAACACACTTTTCCTCAGCTTTAAACTCTCCTCCACCAAGGTCACGGGAAGCAGCCGACCCCTCCACCAAGGTCACGGGAAGCGGCCGACCCCTCCACCAAGGTCACGGGAGGCGGCCGACCCCTCCACCAAGGTCACGGGAGGCGGCCGACCCCTCCACCAAGGTCACGGGAGGCGGCCGACCCCTCCACCAATGTCACGGGAGGCGGCCGACCCTCCACCAAGGTCACGGGAGGCGGCCGACCCCTCCACCAAGGTCACGGGAGGCGGCCGACCCCTCCACCAAGGTCACGGGAGGCGGCCGACCCCTCCACCAAGGTCACGGGAGGCGGCCGACCCCTCCACCAAGGTCACGGGAGGCGGCCGACCCCTCCACCAAGGTCACGGGAGGCGGCCGACCCCTCCACCAAGGTCACGGGAGGCGGCCGACCCCTCCACCAAGGTCACGGGAGGCGGCCGACCCCTCCACCACCCCCGTCAGATAAACTTTGGTCTCGCAGAGTTTGGTGGTGTGTCAGGGCCAAGAAAGAGAGACTTGCCAACAGTCAGGCAACAACTGAATAGGAAGTTTCGTTGCGAGAAAAATAAACTTGGTCGGTAATTGCGAGTCTCATATTTCCGCAGCTGACTGTAAACAGCCTCAGTTGCTTCACGTCAGTTGTGTAATATCAAAACACACAAACAGATGTTTCTTGAAAAGTCACATTTTCTTCTGCACTGCCAACACCGCTTAATTCTCCAGCTGCTTTACATACCCAGATTAAACCTGCAAAGGTAAACACTGTTATTAGATGAAACCCTTATCAGAATGAGAACTCCGTAATTGGCTGAGATGGAGGTCAGCAGGCTTTCCTGATTGGCTACTACCTGGGCTCTAGTTTAAGAATCTTGTCATTTGTAAACTAAGCGAGATTACACGTCTTCCAACCACACAATAACTCCTTGAAAACTTTAAAGAAAATGAAAACAAAATGACTACGCAACCTTTAAATCTTATAATGTATTAAAGTATAAAATAACGAATATAAAAAAAAAGGTTTCTAAGTTGGATACTCTTTCTGCGTCCTCCTGCTGACAAACATGAGCGAGCAGACAGAAGGATGGGCAGAGGTAAGTCCATCTACCCCTCACCCTGCTATATGTGGAGGCAGGGAGGGGGGCATAATAAGATGTAGGCCAAGTCCCGTCTCGTCTGTCCGCTAAACACGACAATACAGACACGCACGGGTGGACAGGAGCGGGGCGGGGTGGACAGAGGCGGGGCGGGGTGGACAGAGGCGGGGCGGGGTGGGGTGGACAGTGTGGGGCAGCTCCTCACTACACCTCCTTAATGGTTCATGGTTAAAACCCAGTTACACCATCGTCCATGGGAGAAGTGGTGGTGGTTCTACACAATGGTCATACAGTCAGACGGAAATGTTCCAACATCAACAGTTCCGTAATGAAAATCCAACGAGAGAAGACTGAGAATCTGGGCGTGGTATTCTGCCTTTATCACCATAATTAACATTATACATGACTCGCATATCGAACACCTGAACATCTGATAAAAAAAACGTACGAGCTTTTCCAAAGAGGATTACATAATTTATATAGTGTAAACACAACAACACAAACACCTCGCGTCTTCCCGCTCCACAACACCTGACGACAACACCGTCCTCGTGGCTCTCACTCATCATAAAGGCTCACGATGGCTTGTAATCACACAACTTCTTACCTCACACAATATAATCTTCAAGGTAATATTTCTGGTTGCAGAGTCACTTTACCTCGTGCCAGACAGCGTTGATGAAGCTCCCTCAACATTAAGCAAAATTGCATTTCTTGTTGCAAAGTCCCGTTACATCATGGAGATAAGTTTACCCCTCACACTGGTCTAAACAGAATCAACTTAACTGGATTTTAACCCGAGTGAGAACCAACAACGCCCTGACCTTCCTACAAAACCTCTGAACGTTAGCGAAGTAAATATTCATAATTATTTTCTGTTTGTTTTTTCTTCTCACTGTCTTTTATCTTGTCATCCATATTTGTTATTTTCCGTTCTTTAAAATCAATCATCAATATTTTGCTGTTTTCTTGTTATCTTCTTTCTTCTCTTTCATCAGTTTACATTATAACCACCACCTAGTTAGGCCACTGACCATAGATCTGAGCTGCTGCTGGGGAAGCAGCACACGCTGGGGGAGGAACACACGCTGGGGAGGCATCACACGCTGGGGGAGGAACACACGCTGGGGAGGAACACACGCTGGGGTTGTGAGTGTTGTCGGGCATGTGTATGTGTAAGGAGGGGGGTAATCTCAAGTACTCGCTAGCATAACGTAACCCAAATTGGCCCTTCATGCAGACACTGACTTGGGTATTCTTCACAATAAACCTCAATTACCCCGAGTGATACAACAGCTAGAAATCAGCCTATAGCTTATTTCACCTTAAGATTAACCTAACCTAACCTCCAAGGAACCATTAGGAAATGTAATCATCAAGTGGGAGGGAGGGGGAGGCTAATCTCCAGGTGATCCATAGTACACAACCGACAAACGAACAAGGAAGACAAACATGTAAACTAAGTGCCAAAAATGTCTTAAAGATGGAGGAGCATAAAAAAAATAATAAGCCAGGAATTCATGTAAAAAAAAATCAAGTACAACATGACCCTTGACACAAGTCCTCCTCGAAACTCAACAACCATCGTCTCTCCCCACATATGGAGGACCACCTTCCTCCCTCCCGCATACCAAAACATGTCTTCCTGCGGCTTTATCTCTGCACTGTAATGTTGAGTCCTTATTTACTGCCCAGGCTCTTATCACAAGCACTTTACACCGTCCTTATGATCACCACGGCTGTCTGTGTCCCCGTCTGTCCCCGTCTTTATCACCAGGCGTCCGTCACTACCCACGTCACCACCACACGCGACACCTGTTGACCCGTAGACAGTACCCAGGTGAGTCACCATCAACCTTATTATCGTGGTTACCTGCACCAGTCATAGCTTCATTAGGCAATATATTGTTATACTACAACTGGAGACACAGACAAACAAACAGAAGCAGACAGAGACAGACAGACAGACAGGCAGGCAGGCAGGCAAGCACACCCATCCTTATTCTCACTTGGTTTTTAAGGTTTTCATTCTTTTATTCTCTGAGAGTAACACAGGCCTTACTTTTGGCATGAACAACAAGTAATGAACGGCCAGCTACCAAGTACAACAACAATTCTCCTGGGACCAACCTGTTGCTAAATGGGTGTCAGCCGCTGCCTTCCTCAGTCTGGTGCTGACATTTTCAGGGATTGACGTCACCAGTAGTAGTTCATGGTCCTGTACCTTATCCTGCCAGAACCAGTTTCTCACAGCTTCACTGTCTTTAAACTCAACTTTGTAAACAATCTGCGGTAAACACTCTCTTTCTCACCACGTGCCAACCTACTCACGCTTTTTGGAACGTTTGGCTCTACCACGTTGCACTACAGACCCGATAAAGCGCAGAACAGCGGCTGCTTCTTGGTTAGTTGGAGCCGCCATCTTTATTTACAGTTGACGAAAGCGGAGCGAACTGCGCACTGGTTCTATGTGCGTGTGTAACAGGGCACGCTCAGAAAACTAACAATCCTTAGAAAATTGATGCAAGAATATTACGCAAAATATGCTAGTGTGACGCCGCCTTAACACCTCCCCAACTACTACCACCAACACACCCCCCCCCCTTACAACATCCAACAGCCACCTTCCTCCTCTACCTCTTTTTTTCCTCCTCCTCCCTGGCCCAGTTTGCGTTCCGACCAATTAAGACCCGGTATCGTCTGTCTCAGTTTTGTAGCTGACGACTCGGTGTTTACACTACCGAGTCGCTTCTCAACGTGGGAGCAAATTGGTGTTCTGGTGAGGAAGTGAGAGGTCAGGGGGCGGCTCTTCTTACCACACATCGTAAAGAACTTTTTTGTCGCATGATATATAAACTCTGGCGTAGTTCCATTTGGTTGACCAGGTTGCTTTATTTTTTTTCCGTTGATCGCTCCCGCTGAGAGAGTACGCGCGTTTTAATACTCACCCACGAATAAACGCGTCGTAACTCTCAGCTGGTAACACTGCGGGAGGTGCTCTAATAAGGGGGGTGGGGGTATGAATATCATTAGAGGGCCCAGGAGAGGAAAAGGTGGCGACCCTCACCTGGCTACACTTCTGAAATTATTTACTCTGCTAATATGACATTTTGATAGACCGGGAGGGAGGGAGAGGCAAGGGGAGGTGCAGGGGGAGAAGTAAAGGGAGGTAGAGGAAGAAGGAGTAAGGAGGGGAGAGACGGTAGGAAGGGACTCATTAATCATCTCACTTGATCAAACACACACACACACACACACACACTCACTCACTCACTCACTCTCTCTCACACACACACACACACACACACACACACACACACACACACATATACGGAGCCTAATTAGAGATAGTCGCAGCTTACTTCAATATTCCACCACACTGTCTAGGAGGCAACTGTTCCCTCCTCTCAGAAGACTTTTCGTTTAATAATTACACCTGTCTTCCAGGTGAGTGTAGATTAAGAACGACCTACCAACGGATGGCTGCCTTCGGGTCACCTCATGAAATTCCACCCCAGCTTATTTCACCTGAAGATAAGCCATCCTAACCTAACCTAACCTACCCTAATCTAATCTAATCTAATCTAACCTACTCTAATCTAACCTAACCTAATCTAACCTAATCAAACCTAACCTAATCAAACCTAACCTAATCTAACTTAATCTAACCTAACCTAATCTAATCTAACCTAACCTAATCTAATCTAACCTAACCAAACCTAACCTAACCTAATCTAATCTAATCTAATCTAATCTAATCTAACCTAACCTAACCTAACCTAACCCCAATACCCAAAGCAACATTAGTATGTTTATTCCTCAAGTGAAATTACCTGGAGTGCTTTACCTTATTTACGTGGCTTTTACCTGGCTGGCAAGTAATTAAGGTGATATCTGTTACAAGTACCGAATTGCCCCTCTCTGTACACGAAGCCATGGAGCTAGTTAGTCTATCTATCTATCTATCTATCTATCTATCTATCTATCTATCTATCTATCTATCTATCTGTCTATCTATCCGTCAAACAATCCATCTATTAATAAACCCACCAATTACATCATACACTCGAACCGAAAATGCACTTGAAGGAACCTAAGTGGACATCCGGACAGAGACCCTCAACAACAGTAGTGAGTCCGTCTAGTAGTGAGTCCGTCTAGTAGTGAGTCCGTCTAGTAGTGAGTCCGTCTAGTAGTGAGTCCGTCTAGTAGTGAGTCCGTCTAGAAGTGAGTCCGTCTAGAAGTGAGTCCGTCCAGCAGTGAGTCCGTCCAGCAGTGAGTCCGTCCAGCAGTGAGTCCGTCCAGCAGTGAGTCCGTCCAGCAGGGTCTCTCTCAACAGGAAGCAGACACTTTAAAATACTTTTCACTTTCCTTCTGTAAACACGGCCCCGACACACGGCCCCGACATACGGCCCTGACACACGCCTCTTGGTGGCCAACCATTCCTCACCACGCCCACTACCTACAACCACGCCTTTAGGGTCAATTCATCCTTCCGAAATCTTGCCACGCCTCACACCCATTCACCTGCCTTGCCTCCCACGCACACACACAAGACAGAGCACTTGAAACCTGCCTACTCAAGTGTACTCACCACTTTTCCTCTACTAAATGCACAGTGTCACTCACCAAGCTAGCACGCCCCTACTACACGCCTGTCACCACGCCCATACTACACGCCTGTAACACGACACCACGCAAACACACGCCTCCCTGCCGACCGTCATCCGCACCACTAACCATGATATCCCTCTGTAGCACACGATACCCCGAGAGAGAGAGAGAGAGAGAGACTAACCCTAGACTTCCACAACTTGCCTCTACCGACTCTCCTTCCTGGACACAACTCTCAGCGTCTCAACCACTACAGCCAAGACACAAAAGTGAATGCTACGTCAGATCAACAGCCCCTATATATAACGTCACTCCTTAATAGTGAACTGTACCGTGTGTGGGTCAGTTTAGTCCTCCCCCCCCAAAAAAATAATGTTCATGCTGTGACTTCCTCTTATGTTACAGTAGTCTCTCTCTCTCTCTCTCTCTCTCTCTCTCTCTCTCTCTCCTCTCTCTCTCTCTCTCTCTCTCTCTCTCTCTAACTACAACCATCTATGCTCAGTCACCTTTCCCCAAGACATAAACACACACAACCACGCCCACCCAGACGCCCATAAACACTAGGGACGCCCACTTACCATGTCCTGTCTAAACACTACCTTACCTCCCTGCTTTCTTCCTTCACCTCACCTCTCTCCTCCACTCCCTTACCTCCCTGCTTTCTTCTTTCACTTCACTACTTTCTTTCTTCACTCTATTTCCCTTCCCTGCTTTCTTCCTTCACCTCACCCCCTCCTCTTTCCTCCACTCCTCACAATCATCAATTCTTCCTTGTCTCTTCCGTCTCTTTTCTTCTCTCCCCTTCCATATGTCTTCCCATCCTTCACCTCTCTCTCTCAACATCCATTCACTGTCCCCCCCCCCCAAGCTCACAATTAAGTCTCTATACATATATGCAGCAAACCCAGCAGTACATCTCCACGGAGTCAACGCCAGACGAACGTTCGCCTATTCTCTGCCTGGTGTGGCGCTCTTATGGCGACAGTATAAGTTACCGTCCACTCTTGAATAAAATCTCGAGGAGGAGGTCAAGTGTGAGGTACGAGGAGTAACTCACAAGCTTCCTCTCTTGAATCAGACGATAACTTACATCATGACATTCACACAGACACAGGGGGGAGGGGAGGGGGAATGGGGTGGGAAGGAAGGGAGAAGGAGGGAAGGAGGGAGGGAAGGAGGGGGGAAGAAGGAAGGAGAGACAGGTAATTGATGACTTGGATTATTATTATTATTATTATTATTATTATTATTATTATTATTATTATTATTATTATTATTACATCCAAAGTCAACTCTTCTCAAACATCAAATACGAAACACAATCAAACTCATAACCACAGTGAACAGGAGGCGGCATCACACAGCTACACATCCTTAAATAATCTAAAAAAAAAACAAAAAAAGTTCTAAAATTTCACCTCAGTTTCCACAACATTATAAAACTCTACTCTCACTATCCATCTATATTCACAGTTTCTAATTAAAAGCGCAAAAAAAAAACCACACACACACAACAAACTACTAAGAGGATTTTTTCCCCATTTAAACACAAAACTCAATTCGTGTAGATTAAAACACGATGACACAAAAATGAGGGAAACATTAAAAATATATTTCCTATTTTTATATTTTAGTATCGAGTCACTGTGAATGTTGATGTTAAGGTGTGGTAGGGGGTGGGAGGGGGAAGGTGAGAGGGGAAGGGGTTACTGGGGGAAGGAGGTTAGGGAAGGAGGTTACTGGGGAAGGGGTTACTGGGGGAAGGGGTTACTGGGGGAAGGGGGTTACTGGGGAAGGGGGGAGAGGGGAAGGGTGTTACAGGGGAAGGGGGTCCAGGAAGGAAAAGGGTGAGAGGAGGTTGGTACAGAGGGTGAGGGGTACAGGGGGAAGGGGAGTAAGGAGGGGAGGTGGGTATAGAGAAGGGGAAGGTACAGGGGGAAGGTGGGAAGATGGTACAGAGGGTGAGGGGTAGATACAGGGGGAGGGAGTAAGGAGGAAGTGGGTATAGAGAAAAGGGGGTACAGGGGAAGGTGGGCACAGGGGGCGGGGGGGAAGATGCTACAGAGGGTAGGGGTAGATACAGGGGAGGGGAAAGGAGGAAGTGGTATAGAAAAGGGTACAGGGGAAGGTGGGCAAGGGTGCATAATAACACCCAAATTAGCTCAAATTTTTCTTCATGCTGAACCTGTGGATATGGTTTGAATAGGGGTTGGGTTAGTTAGAGGCTGAGTTAGGGGCTGGTTGAGGCTGAGTTAGGGGCTAGGGGCTGGTTGAGGCGAGTTAGGAGGCTGGCTGAGAGGCTGAGTTAGGGGCTGGTTGAGGCTGAGTTAGGGGCTGGTTGAGGCTGAGTTAGGGGGCTGGCTGAGGCTGGTTGAGCTGAGTTAGGGGCTGGTTGAGGCTGAGAGGGGCTGGTTGAGGCTGAGTTAGGGGCTGGTTGAGGCTGAGAGGGGCTGGTTGGGCTGAGTTAGGGGCTGGTTGAGGCTGAGTTAGGGGGCTTGAGGCTGAGTTGGTTGAGGCTGAGTTAGTTGAGGGGCTGGTTGGGGCTGGTTTAGGCTGAGTTTGGTTGAGGTTGGGCTGGTTATTGAGGTTGAGGGGCTAAGGCTGAAGGTTGAGTTAGGTTGAGTTATGGGATTGGTTGACTTGGAATGAGTTAGGGGCTGGTTGAAGTGCACTTGGTTGGAGTTAGGGTGTTAGTTGACTTAGGTTGAGTTAGAAGTTAGTTAAAGTTGATTTAAGAGCAGGTTGAGTTAGGTTAAGGGGTTGGTCGAGCTTGGTTAAGGTGAGGGTTAATTCTTCAGGGGGTTTTTGCTGTAGTTTCGTCTGGTAAGGTTTGGGAGTGATGGCGTTAGATGGGATGAAGGTTAATTAAGGCTAAATTAAATTAGACGATCAGGTGATGTCCAGACTGTTGTTTGTACCACAAGAATAACAAAAACAATAATAATAATAATAATAATAATAATAATAATAATAATAATAATAATAATAATAATAGCCCCACCTGGTCAGCTACCCACCCACCTTAAAACACTTCACCTGACAGGAACAAGATCAACGTCGAATATCATAAATCTCACCCAGTAAACGCCCACTACCTCAACCACGTCCAGATCCTCAGAGATTCCCAAGTTAAATTTTACCTCCTTAACTCCGAGGGTTAGTTATAGTCCTGGTGCAACTTCGACTCCATTTTGGATGATAGATGTTATTCTAGCACCAGTGATGAGGGAAATAGTATTATATTATGAGCTATATAGTGATGGAGTGTCGGGGGAGCTCTGAGAATCACGTCCGAGTTATAAAAAAAAATTTAACTTGGACTTGGGGGTGACTTGTCCTCCTGCCAGCCATGTGCTCTATCTCGCTTGTCTGACGGTGTTACCCTTGATGCTTCTCTCTAGATGCTGGCCAGGATAACACGAAATCTAACACTAGCGGCCACGATAACCAGAAATATAACACCGGTCCAGGAGACGAAGGGAGGGGGTAAGGAGAGTAGGCAGGGGAAGGGAGGCTCAGGGATGGGTGGGGGGAGGGGTTGTTAAAGGGATTAGCTGCCATGAGATTTACAACCAATTCTTCTGACACAAAATATCACGTTTTCTTTTAGCTCACCCACGAAGGAAAATATTTTCTGAGATACATTATTATTTTTTTTTTGGGGTCTGCTTTCCATGTTAATCCATTTGCATGTAATTTTCCTCACTGCTTCACCTAGACCTGAAGACGAAGGAATGTGGGAAAAGGCCTCTTCTATATTTTGACTGACAATCTACTTATTTTGGAGTCAGTGAGGAGGTGTTTTAGAGAGGTGGGGAGCAGCACGTCCCTAAACAAATGACTGTCGCCTTGTCAGTTGATGGAGAAGACGGCCGTGAGGGAGGGGGGGGGGAGAGAAGAGTGGGGAGGGGGGGACTGACTAACACACACACACACACACACACACACACACCCCCCTAAGACGACTATGGCGCGGTCTGGTTTTAAAAGAAATTATTTTCCTTTATTATTCTTAAATATTCTGTCTTCCTTATATAAAATATCAAAATATATCCTTTAATTCTGTCTTATATAATCACCATCTTCGTCTCTCTAAAATATAATAATCTTGACGTATCTTATAATTCTCATATTATTCTTCCAATCCTCGTCTTCCTTATACATAATCCTTACATCTTTTATAAATTCTCTATCATATTTTGGCCATATTCCTACACTTCCTAATATATTACCTGGCCATAATTGATCATATTTTCAACATATTCTCTACAACTTTTAACATTTTCTCTTATTCTCTTTACCTGTTACTTTGTCTCCATGCATCATCCGGATTTATTAGGATCCTTTTATTTAGTGGTGTTTTGTCTTTCTTCTCTTTTCGGAGTTATTCTGTGGATCTACTTTATCATGTGTCTCTCTTATCTCCATATTCGTTATTTTGTTTGAGAGAGAGAGAGAGAGAGAGAGAGAGAGAGAGAGAGAAAGAAAGAGACCTGATTATTTTTCTTAACTAATTATTCCATCATTATCCCCCCCCTCCTTTCCTCCTACAACTCTTCCGTCTCCTTCTCGTCCTCCTCATCTCCTCCTTGTCCCCCTCTTCCTCCTCTTCCTTCTCCTCCTCTTTCTCCTCCTCATCCTTCCTCCTCTTCCTAGAATCAGGTGAGGGCGAGATAATTCTGTCACTCCATCATTGCCCAGGCTATCAAGTTCCTCTAAAGGCCTTTCACTCGTGTCGCCCACAACACTACGGTGATATTGACAACCCCGTAAGAACACCCCCCGTCATTGGTCCTGGTTACACACACACACACCACATCCCGCCCACCCAGTACCCACCCACACTCCAATCACCCATGTCAACACCCATAACTGCTCATCCAACCCACTTTTATATAATCAATCATCTATACTCATACTGATATCCGCCACCCGCACCCAGACACACACACACCCACACGTCCATCCACACGCACTGACTGACATCTACCCATCCACAAACACATCCACCCACTTCCACTCATCCATCTTCATATCCACACCTCAGTCACCCACACCAAGCCTTATTAATTACTATATCACCAAACAGTACTATTATCCTTATTATAAAGATTAATATAATTACTGTATTACTATAATTAACATTTCTAGTACAAATTATTATTATTATTATTATTATTATTTTTTTTTTTTTTTTACTAATATGATAAATTTTACTCTTTGATTTTAGACAATTTCTCTTACTCAGACTTATACATCCATCAGTAACCCCTAAACCAAGACAATATTTCCTTCCTTTACATCATCTTTGAATCATCTTCCAGCAGCCATGATTCTCACTTTATCGTATTATATTTATTCATTACCGATTTTTTCTCAGTTAACCGTAAATCAAGACGATATTTTCTTCTTCTTCAGCCTCCTTTAACCATTTACCAGCACCCATAGTTCTCTCTCTCTCCTACACCAAGTCAACATTTTCCTGCTATACTTCCTCCCTGAAGCAGCTCCCCGGCGGCCATCATTTTGACTTCATTTTCCCCCTATGACACAACTTTTTTGAGAGGTGAGGTCCAGTGTGGTGCCCGGCAGTCAATGTTATCATGCCGAGGCACCCATCCATACAGTGAGGAGGGGGGAGGGGCAAAGGAGAGAGGGAGGATGGAGGTTAGGGAGAGAGGGAGGGGAGAGGGATGGAGGGAGAGGAGAGGGAAGGTAAAGAGGGAAGGAGAGAGTAGAACAAGAACTAAGGAGAAAAATAAGAAAGAGTAAGTGAACGAGAGAGTAAATAAGTGAGCGCGTGTGTACATCATTTCTTCCATATCTACTGTACTGCCTTTTACCCATTCTCTGTATACCTTTCCTTCCTCTCTCTCTTTCTCTCTCTACGTCTCCCTCTCCTAATCTCTTTTCTACCAACTCCACCTCCTCCTCCCAGCCCCCTCTTCTTCTCCCCCTCCTCTCCTTCCTCCTCCTCCTCCTCCTCCTCCCCTCCTCTTCCGTCATTAATATCCCATCTCCCTTCTTTTTTACCCCTCAGACATTCTTTATAAAATTCCTCTCACCTCCCCCTCTTCTCCACCTCCCCCCCCCCTCTTCTCCTCGCCCTCTCTGCCAATATTGAAATATATAGAGATCTCTCTCCCACCCATGCCCGTCAACTCCCCTCCCTCCATTCCTCTTCCCTCCCCTTACACTCAAGCCTTGCAATCATTATATATATATATATATATATATATATATATATATATATATATATATATATATATATATATATATATATATATATATATATATATATATATATATATATATATATAGTTGTGATTTTACCCAATCTTCTCAAAGTTTTAATCATAGTAAAAGTGGTAACTCTCTCTCTCGCTCTCTCTCTCTCTCTCTCTCTCTCTCTCTTTAACCTCATCTCTTTCTCTCTCTAAACGTCAGCTTCCAGAACGCCAGGTCCCCCCAAACGCCATGAAGAGTTGGTGGTAATAATAATAATAATAATAATAATAATAATAATAATAATAATAATAATAAACAATAATAACAATAACAATAATAATAATAATAATAATAATAATAATAATAATAATAACTAACAATAATAATAATAATAACAATAATAATAACTAACAATAATAAAAAACAACAAAACAACATAATTAAGAGTATATCGCCTCACCAAATACCCGCATCGTTATACTATCATAATAACCATAGTATATCAGTATATATAACCAGGATATACTCACCCCCAGCATATCGTTCCCACTACACGAACCCCAAAACTATACTAATTCAATAGATAGATAAAATATTGGAAGGATATAACCGTTATACACGTTTAGTTATACTCGCATACCACGTATATCTCTCGCTTTCCATTAGTGAGTATAGCGGGCCGTGGAAAAATAATATTAATAAAATGAATATATATATACACAAGAGCAAAGTAATAGGGGATATAACCGTCATACTCGCGGGGTTATACTCACGCGGGGGTATGATGTGTGTTTGATAGGAGTGATAAAGATAATTATAACAGGAAAGATGATGATCATAATAATAATAATAATAATAATAATAATAATAATAATAATAATAATAATAATAATAATAATAATAATAATAATAATAATAATAATAATAATAATAATATTAATAACAATAATACCAACAATAATAATAATAATAACAATAATAATAACAATAACAATAATAATAATAATAATAATAATAATAATAATAATAATAATAAAAATAATAACAATAACAGCCCACCACCAAAAATAATAATAATAATAATAATAATAATAATAATAATAATAATAATAATAATAATAACAACAACAACAACAGCCCACCAACAGCAAGCCAGCCTAAATTACACCTCACACCTCAAGGGATATTAACATCAATGAACGCCTAATTTACCTTAATCTGCCAAAATTAATAACAAAAAAAAATTATAATAATCCTATAACACTAGCTACGCCACCTTCGATAATTCAAATTTACAGGTAATTAGCGCCAGCGTAATCAAATGAGGAACGCATTCAACGCCGCTCACAATAATTTACGCAATGTCGATAAACAGATTACATGTGAGCGTGGGTAATGTACCGTAATGTCTACAATTATTATTATTATTATTATTATTATTATTATTATTATTATTATTATTATTATTATTATTTCCACTGCCGAGAGAGAGAGACACACACATTAAACCTATCTGATGTGATTAGACTGGTAATAATTAGGAAGAATTAGCGTATGTTACCTGCCGTTTGACTATTAAGAGAACGTACATTAATTAATTGAGATATATATTATGTATTAGTAGTAGAGAATAGTTGACTACTCTCTCTCACTATATCCCGTAAGTCCTAACACTTTAATTTGTAAATACTACGACTATCTGACTACTGAGGTTAAGTCCCTTATCTTTCAAAACAAATGTAATTAAAAGAAAAATAAGTGAAATCCGGCGATAATACTGTTGTAATAACTGATAATTACGTCTATTAGTCGTAATAATAATGATGATAACACAATCCGGGGTGATACAAGTCATTATGGGGTGAATATCGAAATAGTGACACTTATTGTAAATTATTGAAGTCACTGCTGAAAACTGTCTCGTGTCA